TGCTTAGCATGAAATCATTGTTGTCTTATTTTTATTTGGAAGCTTGCAGGAGAAGAATCGACTTCATCTGACGGGGTCCAAGAGGAATGCTTGACCTCAGAGGGGTTTTCTTGATCTTGGGATTTTTTTCCGACCATGTTTTTTTGCCCATCATAGGGCCTAGGTGGGCATCCTAGGGCAGGGCCTAGCAATTTGGTTGTAACTTAAGAAGGTCCTGTCGACAGAACTGAACTTTCTGTTCAGACTCCTGGGACGTCTCGGGCGGTCGTGATATCATCGCAACGGAAGTCGGATGAGGGCAGAATGCCCGAGTCTATGTACCTTACCAATCCTTGACAACCCGTATCGATGACCACAAATTGATGATAGCACCCAGACACAACCTGTCTGGAGTAAAAACTATATATTTACTATTTAGCTTGTTGGGGGCTGGTCGATATCAGGGGTCAATGTGGGGCTATCTCTTCCCCCATGGTGCCGGAGTCTCACGCAAGATCTGTCTCGCCCTTCGCCACGCCGCTGGATTTTTTTTGTAGCGGAGCTTCGCTCCCTAAGAGGAGCATGTAGAGGCCTACTATTGGCCCTGATAAAGGTATAGATGGACACGGAAGCAGTCCTCATAGGTTTTGAGGGGAGATGAATTCGACTTCGATGTCTTCAGCTATCTTCAGCTCAGTCTAGCACCGAAGATGACTGAAAGCTCTGGAGACCGAAGAACCTGCACTGGAAACCACCTTGTTTCTATCTCCGACCTGAACCAGTGGGCTTTGATCATGTTCATTGAAGGTCAGGTCATCTTTCATGTCAGCCAAGAGATCCAAGGCTCCCACTTCGGGTTTCTGAGAGGAAATGGTCACTCCACTAGATCGCTACGCTACTGGTAGTTTTTGCGTGAGCACCTGCGCCAGTTCGATAGATCCATCCAGCATCACCACCCCCAGATCGGGTCAGTTCGGGTAGCATCCTGGACCTCGGATGCTTGAAGGGACGAAACTGGGTACCTCAGCTGAGTATTCGAAACCGTGGAACAGGGGCCAGGGGCCACACATGGTTCCTGGGTCGTGTCAAACCAACAGAGGTTGAAGAACCATATTATAGACAGGTACCATAGGTACCTCAGTCGGGTGCTAGTTCAGGTCACTTAACCTCTCTTGGAAAGAGTAACATTTGCAAACATGAACCTTCCAGACCTCTGAACCTACTCACCCACTCAGGATGCTCGCTGGACCTGGTCCCCCAACACCCCCCCACCGCCACAGCGACGCGCGCGCATCCGGCCCCATGGGCACATGGGTGCCGCTTGCAGCACGCTGGAGCACTTCGGCGCAAGGTCTTAGGGCCGTGCGAGGTCGGTCTGGGCGGAAGGTCGGTCGGATGCAGAGCTCCGAAGCTCGGTGAGCGACGGGAGGTTGGCAGAGTCTTACTATTGATCAACCACCCCCAGATCAAGGGGTGGATTGATTTCCAACATGGTGGGCACTTGATGAATCAAGAGGTCTACAGGAACAGTGCACCTAATGTCCCAGTTTGTGGGCTCAACCTGTTGGAGGATTGAGTTCCCTACTCTCAGATGAGGGGTTCACTGAAGGGCAACAAAAACCACAGGGTATACAGCACATTCTGTATGAAGTGCAACTTAAAACCTCACGACTTAGGCTCAGATTTGTGAGCTTTGGACATCTCACTTCCCCATCTCCCTGCGCGTTTTCTTCCTTCTATCACGTCAAGAAGGTGGGGGCCAGGTGAGTTCACCTTGTTCTCAGGGAATCACCCGAGGGTCAGGAAGGTTTGGGTGAAAGTAAACCAGTTCACCTTCTTGTGGCTCCAGACATCTCCACAATTCGACGTGGCAAATTTCTAGTCTGGCTCTACTGTTAATACAGACTCCCAAAGTCTTGAACACATGCATGTACAGGTACAACATGTACTGCATGTAGACTACAAGTTGTAGTACTGCATGTAGTAGTAGACGGTAGACAACTCCTTTAAGGTCTTCTCACTCCCAATGAGCCAGTTACGATCAAAAGCGAGGTCCGCGCGGAGCTGCAAGGCCTGTGAGGCAGCGTGTGACTGCCCAGTGGGAGCTGGGGGAGGGTGGGCGGTGTGCATGACCTCGACAGAGAAAATCCTTAGAGCCTTAGAATATCAATGCAGAATGCAGAATATCATTCATGTATCATATTTAACACCATAGACTCCGCATTTTTGATGGAAGCTATGACAGTGACATTCATGTAAGGTGCTGTAGCTCTTCACAGATCCAAATCTCCATCCCGAGGCCGATCGCCCTGAAGGCGTGGCAGGCGAGGCCTGGGGCTCGATGGGGCGCGGTGCCGATCGGGCAGTGGGGAGCTCCGTTCTTCTCGGATGTGTGTGGAGCTCAAAGTCAGACAGGGATTCCTACAACCAGGTGCTTTCAGAGGTGAGTAGCAGGGGAATATTCCCTATGCTTCTCACTAGCTTCACTAGCTCCTGAGAAAGTGGTCGAAGGTGGTTGGGGTGGGTCTTCTGAGGTGTTTGGAGTTGGAGCACCTTTTTGGGATTCCATACATTGAGATCACGAAGTGTTTGCTGAGACTCGCTCTGACTTTTTTCTGAAAAACAGACGAGACAGATGGGGCGGCGCACGCCTCTTCAAGCTTTCTCCTGATGATGTTCTACTCCATATCCTCAGGCTGCTTCTGTGGTGGGGGATGTGTTCAACTCCCTGGCGTGATGTTCGGTTCGGTTCGTTCCGTTTGCAGCGCCCTCCGCAGCCTGCAGCGAAGGCAGAACGACTCTCAAAGTGTCCAAAGTGTGGAACCCTGTGACTGACATGCGGAGGAGCCAGATGAATCAAGGAGGGTTGGAACCACTTGGGTGTATTGAAATAGGAACGAATGGCTTAGTGGGTCTAATTTTTTTCCTGCAGGGTTGGAGCCACTTGCGAGACTCCCTGGCTCATATCCGGCTCTTGTGCACAGACACGGACAGCGGGAGGACGTGGCTAGTAAAGATTCAGACTACAACACCCAGGTGGGTGTGTATTTCAATAGGGAGACTCGCTTTGGAAGGTCTCCCTATTTTAATACATATTCCCAGGTCAACCGTTCATTTCAAGGTCTTTGAAGGCTAGGGTTCTTGCTGGCATAGGGACATGGACTTTACAGATTGAGCAGCCTCACCGTCCCAGGTGTAAGAGACGCAATAGGTTGGACTGAACCCCCCGAAGGAAAGGGGTGTCTAGTAATGGGCTTGGAAAAGAGGCGAGACCAAAGATGTGTCTACTCATTCACCAAGTTGACAGGCTTTTGGCATATGTCTTCCACCCCTCAAACCCATGAAAAACAAGGGTTTTCACATACAAAAAACAGGGTTGATGGTTTGCGGGGCCCCTGCCTGGGGTATCTCTTGAATGTAGATTGGCCAAGATCGCTCTCAATCCACCTCTAGCACACCTGAATCACGTTTATTTTTTGGTCTTTGGAATCAATTTGCGGTTGCAGAGACTCCGGTGGTAGCTGGATTCCCCCAAAATCAACATGGCTTCGTCATGCTTAGTTCCTTTACCAAAAAGGTCTGTACCTCGGAGGTCTCCCTATGTCAAAACCTGAATGACCTTTATGTTGAACCGGGCCCCACCCAAAAGGCACCCTTTGCTATCAGAACAGGGGTCATCTCCGGGTTTTAGTGTAAAAACGCGTTAATTAGTAGCCAACACCCCAGCCAGCTCGCTCTCGATCACCGGGCTCGATCCTCCGCGGCCGGTTTGGGTGAATTGGGCGAGGCTCGGCTCGGTGGGTCGAGGGAGTCCGGGCCGAGGGGCTTCGTGACACTTCAATGCCGGCTCTGGATAGGGGCTTGGAACATCTATATCATTGAATATCAAAAACAATAGTCAAGTTGAAGTGATTGCAGGACCATGATGTGGATTTTTTAGAACTGCCAAGAAAATCAAGACGTTGCAGTACGAGTTCAAGTTTGGGTGCTGTTCTCCAAATTTGGGAGACCCCTTGACGTGTGTCTTTCTCGACCGACCCCTCTTCAAATCCCTTGGTTTCCGACCGACCCCTTGAGGAAAGAAAGGGCCAAAAGGGCAGAAAGATGGGATTCAGCCAGTCTTCAGCGGTGTTTCCCTCCCTGAAACCATGAACAGTGCCAAAAACGCTTGTTGGATGACCAGTTTTTTTTGCAGCTTGCAGGTGGTATTATCCCATTCCATGTTCCACTGACTTTCACCTGTCTGGATGCAGAATGATTGAGACCGGTTTTCCATGGGAATCTGATAGAATCGCTCGAATCCGAGTGTTTATTGTAGGGAGACCAGACCCCAAGCGTTCCGACGAAGGTTCGGGATTCGACCAGTCTACCCAGCCAGAGCCAGGAGACCTCCCTATTACACATCCAAATGGAGCGATGTTCCAATTGACACCTCTGAATTCACGGCGCTCCATGGCGGGCCAACCAACCCGCGACATCGACCCTGGACCAAGCGCTACCCGCTGGACCAAACTTGTGGCGCCATGCCAACTTTTTGGCTCACAGTGAAGTAGCAGTACGTCGGCCAGTTTTAATGGACAGTCCAAGCAAAGACATCGCCGTGTGAAAAACATCAACTAGTGCCGATGAGCATCTGCAGGTTCAGAATATCAAGAGAAGGGTCGTCCAATTTTTTGACGTGAAGCCCACATGTCATTCGTCGACAAACCGACTCGTGCAAGCCCACGAGTGACTTGTGTGACCTTGTTTAACTTCCCCCAGCATCAGGAAACTGGCCGGTTTGATCATTCATGAGACTCAATCCATACGCAAGCAGTTGCAGTGTTTTTGTCGATCGCAACAAAGTCTCCCGCAGCAGATCCAACCATGAAAACGGCGCCGAACGGCCATTCTATTCTATATTAAGTTCAACAGGTAATGAACCGAACGAAGATTTCTTGACTTGACAATCTTTCGATCATGTTGAATCTCATTAAAAGTTTCACATTCTATTTGTAAGTTTGCTCCAGCTTTTTCTTGTTTCCTTCAAGTGGAACAGAACGGATTCCGTCGAGGAATTGCCGCTGCCCTGCCCTGCGCTCTCCGCGAGCAGCCCCAGGGCCCCATGCCGTCCTCGAAGCGGCGGGAGCCGCGCGAAACATGGGATTCCTGGCGGTAAAGCTGATGATTTTGGGCTTTTTGATGGCAACCATCCCCGGGTGGTTCCTGGGTGGAAGCCGCTGGCTTCAACATAGAGAGGGATCAGCACACCCCTAGGCAACCTGTTCTGATTTTTGTTCATCTTGTGGAATGTTCATGTTGCTGCTGCTGCTGCTGCTGGTGTTGTTGTTGTGGTTGTGGTTGTGGTTGTGGTTGTGGTGGTTGTGGTTGTGGTTGTAGTAGTAGTAGAAGCAGCAGCAGCAGCAGCAGCAGTAGTAGTTGTTGTTGTTCTTGTTGTGATGTTTACTTGTTGTTTGCCTTGTTGGTGCACAAAATTCCGACAGCAAGCAAAGTATGACGCTGCAAAGGTTTCTATCCAACAAATTGCTGGCAGCAGATGGGAATCCGCACAATGTTCAAGCACGCAAATCAGCAGCCTTCTTGAGCATCTCCCTTCTTGGATCAAATTGGATCCCTAGATTGATATATATAATTCACCTGGACCACAAGTTGACCCTGTCAGGAGCAGATCTGAGGGTTTTCCGGAGATCTAGCGAGTGAAACTTGCCCAGTCAATCAAAACCCTTAATGCATTAATGGATTGATTTATTTGTTCTGTTGACATTATGGATGAATTATGGATCAAATTACATAATGTCGATTGAAGATTATTGTAGACTCTTGCTCAATCAACCCCCCAAGACATGACAGGAGATGTTGGACCATCTAGGTAGGACTTGGGTTTTATCAGCAACTGTCTATAGACATTCTTGTGATCTATGGGTGGAATTGGAGACAAGGCCCTTTTTGGGGCTCATCTAGGCCCTTTTTGGGTCCCCAATCCCATGCCCAGAGAAAACATGTTCAGAGACTGGGCGAAATGGATCTATGGAAGAGAACACTTCCAGATGGTACAGAGCTTTGATGGAAGGATCAGATAGGATCAATGGAGTGGTACATCTTGAAAAAATATTGATCCACTGATGTATCTTGATGGTTGGATGATCCAACCGTTCATTGGATGTACATCTTGATATTCATCCAGCCCAAGATCCAACCCTTCGGACCTTTTTGAGGCTTTTGGGTATTGACACGCCTGACACTGCATGTGGCTTCAAGCCAGAGTGCAACTGTATGCACACCGCCTATACGCCCGCGTGATATTCTTTATTTGTACTTATGGTGTTTTTATACTATGTTGTTTACAGCCTATAAACCTAGGTGTTGAACGAGCCACGCTGCTCTGGATCGCAGAGCTTTCATCGAAATCCACCCATCCCGACCGTCACCCCACCCGTTGGCCACCGGTCCAATCGCGTCGCTGTGGGTCCGAGGACTGCAGCAACTGTGGCTATGCCGTGTTCACCACCCGACAGGAGATGAGACGTTTTCAAACATCTGTGGAACGGGGTATGTTGGGGTGCTTTCTGTGCTTTCAAAAACCGTGTTGCTGCTTCGTCTAAAACGTGTTGGGTGCCACCATGAACACAACGTGTTCTTCATGGAGTTCTAGCGGAGGAGCGATGGCCCTGCTTTTTGGATGTCCAAATGCAAGATCCAGTGCCAGATGAGTTGTAGATTTTGATGTAGTTGAAAGCATTTTGGTGATGTGTCATGGTCATACCATTTGTTCAGTGGCTTCCTGCACCGCTCTTGGGTGGGTCTGGCTGGGTTGCATGTGGGCGGCAAAAGCCTACTGCTACGGTAGCGTTGGTGTTTTTGTTCGCTGTTTCTCCCCTGAGTGCCGAGCTCACTTGTGTGAGATCTGAGGAGGTGAGTCAACACCTGGAGCCCGGAACTCATCCTGCTAGGTTGACCTCTACTCTGTTCACACGCTGACTAGTCTCGATGAGTGAGACGTCTTGTCCACGACACTCTGATCGTTGAACATAAAATTGCACAAATTGGAAGACTACAGCAAGGAATCAAAAGAAAAGGACCAGGAGTCCGCAAAACGACCCGCACCGGCCGCCAAAACACGAGCAAAAAGAGCAAGCTCATTCTGAGCAAAGTAAGGTAGGATGCCTGTCAAGGCACCTTGAGGAAGAACCTTGCCTATACATTTTGTAGCGCGGGCTGCAGGCGTCCCTGGGAGATCAGGACATTGCTTGTACAGCGCAACAATACCCTGTCGCAGTCGCAGGACAAGTTCCTGAAAGTGTGCTGGTCTTTTGTGTAGCCGGAAGCCCCTCAAATGAAAGAGAAAGGCCAGTTCCTGATAGGTACACAAAAGATGCTGACCTTGTGTCCATCGCAAAGAGGACAAAAAGTCACAGAGTTGCTCCCAATCAACCTGTGTCATATCAGCCTTATGCGGTGGAGAACTAGCAGGAGTGGTTAGCGTCATATCAAAAGAATCTTCCTCCATGTTCCAGGCAAGTCCTGGATAGCATTTGCGGAAATCTTGTACGTCCATCGGTTTTGGTGATGAAGAAAGAGCCACAAAATCTTCTGAGCACTCAAAGCCAATGTACTTATTCAACCGAGTCAGGATCTCCTGTTGATGCAAAACTGCTGTTTGGAGCAAGGACTTATCTTTCGGAGTAATAGGGCAACGCTGCAAAGCAAACTGTTTGGCGACCCGATCCGCAATCCTGTTGAGCTCCACATGTTTCCTAGTTGTACCAGCCTTCTGAATCGTTTCAGCCGGAATAAGGGAGACCGGGAGAGAGTCCTCGAGATGGGCCGGAATCCAGGTCATGGAGAGTACTGGGTCAAGACAAACTATGCTGCGTTGATTGACCACCAACAGTAGTTGTTGCCACCACTCCAAATGAAGGTTATTGCGAGGAATGCACCTTGTCCTCACCAAATTGTTGACCATGGTGACGACTTCTTGGCAGTCACTGTAAACCCGGATACAGCAATCTGCCTTGAGTGTCGCAACAATAACAGCCCAAAGCTCCGCCGAAAAGGAGGACAGCGCCAAATGTGAGACTGTGCTAGCAGCGAAGATGGTGCCATCCTCCTTGATCACGGAATAGCCACCGGCAGTGAGTGGGAAGCATTCATTCCAGAATACCGAACCATCCGTCCACAGTGAAAGAATATGGGAAGGACGGGTGAACTCTGTGCAATCAATGTCTGCCGCTCTGTCAACCTGGAGGCGATGCCGAAGGATTGGCCACGGATGTTCGACAATACCAAGTTGCGAAAAATTTGATCCAAATTCATGAGCTGGCCCAAACTGAAATAGCTCATGTGCAGCAGGGCACTCAAGAATGTGGACCAAGGACTCTTTCACGCTTTGACAGAAGCGGCATAGTGGTGACTCTGCAAACTTGGCAGCAAACCTTCTGTCATTGGTTATGGTGCACCCAACAATCTGAGCCTCAAAATGTACACGCAGTGGAGGGTCAGAGCCATTGCTATCACATTGCTTGCCAGCAAAAAGCTTAGAGTGAAAGGTGTCAATGAAACCTTGCGGCTTGAAAAAATCCTTTCTATTCAAGTTGGCAGGATGATCATAGTGCATCTGAACAGCAAACTGTTTGAGCACTGGCGTGATGTCACGAACCGATAATTCCTGAAGATTGATCTTGAGGCCAAAGCCAAAGGAAATACAAAGATCTGTGTCCAGCGAAATGCCAAAGTCCGAAAACGCATCTTGAATTCTGGCAAAGAGGGAATGTTTACCGGCAGCGGAGATACTAGCAGCATGACGAACTCGATTAAGGTTGGTCCTGTCAAGATGCAAGAACCGCATAAAGTCAAGAATGGCATTGTACGCACGAGCGGCATAGGGGTCAACGCGGTGTGGCTGTGCTAGAAAACCCAAAACTAGGTGCTTGGCACGCCAGTGTGGCCTGTTACCCCACAACGCTTGGGTGATCTCTGCCTGGATCTTATCAAGGACAGCTTTAGGGATTTTTGTGATGTGCGCAGCATAGCTGCATTGCGGGATGGCTTTGGCGCCAATAAGCTGACTCTTGGTCTTCCTTGGCAAGGGTAAGGCACCAATGTTACGGATGTCCAAGAGAATCTTGTGGGTCTTTGCTTCAGGGAAGTCGAAGGAGTTGCGTTGAGAGGTATAAATTTTCGTTCCCAACACATCAATGACATCCTGAATCAAGAAGCCAGGAAAGTTCAGTTTCATAGTTTTTCGGCCAGCGGAACTAGAGGACCACGCAACTGACTTATCAGTATTAAGTTTCTGCCCGACGAGGGTATCCCAAAGGCGAGTGATTTCGAGGGCAATCTGGAGGTTCGCGACAGGCTGGATGGAAGCCCAAAGATATATATCGTCAATGTAGATCCTACATGTGATGTGCGGCACATCATGGAGGAACGCAAGCCAGGATCGCATGTAAGCATTAATGGCAATCAACGAGAAAGAGCAGCCTTGGGCAACCCCATTAGGGGAGGTTGTAGCATTGTGCAAAGTCCAGCCCCTATACGAAAGATGCCGTCGCATACCATTGTATTGCCTAACGAACACACTAACAACATGCTTGGGACAACCAAGGGCAAGGAGAATGATGGCAACGAACGCGGGAATGATACGGTCAAAGCATTTACTTTTATCAAGTTTCAAGCCAACCAAAGTCTCACGGTTCGAACGAGCTTCATCAATCTCAAGTCGTAAGGTGGTCGGAATGGTAGTCATATGCCGTCCTGCAATGCCCCCAACGATAGCAGGAGGCATAATGGAAGCTTGCCATTCCTTGGCTTGCCGAAAGCGGGTGCCAGTATATGCAAGCAAGAGTGGGGGCAGGATTGTAATGAGCCTTTTGTTGAGCGGAGAGGAGGGCCCAGGTTTGTTGAGAATAACCATCTTGGCCGTGGTAAGGGCATTAGGGAGGTGGAAATCAACGTTGGCCTCTAACCTCCGAAAAAAGGCTGCAAAAAGCTCACACACTTCAAGCGGCAAGGACTGAAGCTCAAGAGTACGCCAACCATCCAGACCCGGAGCAGCATTGACATGACGTGCTTGGACCGTCTGCAAAACATCGGCCCCGGTGATTGGTGGCGGCTGCCACGGCTTGTTTTCCCGGGACAGGTAGGGCCAAAGAACCTTCAGGAGCTCAACAGGGTCATCATGCCCAATATTGGCAGCGAAAATCGAGTCCCATTGCTCATTGATGGTAGTCAGAGCTTCAACAGGCTGATAGATAATGTGCCCTTGTTGGGTAGTGACCAAGTTGTTGGGCTGGTCCTGAGATTTATTCTTGAGGTGGTGGAAAATGTAGGCACGAGTACTGGAGGCAGAGTCACGGATTTTGTCCTTCCACAAACGAATCCTACGTTGCTTAAGATCGTGTTCTTTCTGATCAATGCGAATCTGGAGCCATAAATGACATTCATGCAACTGAAGCAAGGAGAGATTGCCCTGTGAGTGGAACGTAAAGGGGGCTTTAAGGTTCCTAAGTAGGCGATTGAGCTTGCGAAGGGCATTGTAGAGAATGTCACACTCTTTATCACTTAGAGAGGGCTTTGCAGCTTTAGCTTGGATATCAAAGACCTTGGCCTGCGCATTATGCAAACATGAAAGGTGAAGGGAAGCGGCATCACCCGAGACAAATTGGCCAGGGCAGTATTTCTTTGACTGAAAGACCGGAGGTGTAGCTCGTTGCTGACGACCTTTCTGCCACGTGGCGCCCAGACCAATCAGGGTGGTCAGGGCATGCTGGTTGATATCGAACCACAATTCTTCAGGGGCTGATTCACCGAACGTGGACACAAGGGTGTTGTCCCAGAGATCAGTTTGAGGGGCATAAGCCTTAGGTACATAACCTTTAGAGACCCGCGAAATATCAAGCGCAGCGAACTTGACATGGACCGGCCCTACTTGAAAAATGGTTTCCCAATTGAAAACGGCACGAACGGGGCGGTGCTGCTTGTGAGTCCAATCAACCGTACCAATAGACTGGAGACAACTGAAGGCTACTTGGTTCAAAAGGATACCATCAATCGAGGAACAATGCTCACCGAACGCAGTGAAGGTGCAGTCCCTACTATAAGTAATAGGGCGGTCAACAGAACCATCCTCCAAATAGATGGTGAGAGGATCAAACCAATCTGCAAAATGGACAGCGGTGGCAACAGAGGGGTATTGCGAGGGTGGCAATTGGAAGTCGCCAACCACCAGTACAGGAATGTCCCCGAATTGGCTCGCAATCTGGAAGACGTCGCTCAAGAGTTCATCATTAAACTTGAGTATGTCATGCGATGCCGAAGCACCCGACTTCCCATAAAAATTGAAGACCAAGACCTTGAGTGAGGGTCGCACCTGGCACCACAGGGCCTGAACCCTCTTTGACTTAAAGACGCCATCGTACAGGCCAGTGATATCTTGCGACTGCTGAAAGGGAATGGTCAACTGACTGGGGGCAATGGTGGCAACCCCCCCATGAGAAGTGGCACCACTACCATCAGA